AGTGGTACGATGCTTACCTGGCATGCACAAGACCTTGGGTTCAAACCCAAGTACTGAAAAAAAAAAAAGAGAGAGAGAGAGAGAGAGAGAGAGAGAGAGAGAGAAAAAATTGATTCAAGCAAATATTATGTAGAAAAGCTAAAAAAAAAAATGGTATTTGTGTGGGCTGGGGATGTGGCTCAAGCGGTAGCGCGCTCACCTGGCATGCGTGCGGCGCGGGTTCGATCCTCAGCACCACATACCAACAGGGATGTTGTGTCCGCCGAGAACTAAGAAATAAATATTAAAATTCTCTCTCTCTCTAAAAAAAAATTTAAAAAATACATACAAAAATGGTATTTGTAGAACTGGATTGTGGTAGAACACTCACCTCACACGTGTGAGGCCCTGGGTTCGATCCTTAGCACCACAAATAAATAAATATCAACAACTTAATATATATATATATATATATATATAAATGGTATTTGCACAGTGTCAAAGAATCACCTCATGGGGCTGGGACAACGGCTCAGTGGTACGGCACTTGCCTAGCATGTATGAGGAACTAGCACCACATAAAAATAATAAAATAAAGGTATGTGTCCATCTACAACGTGTGTGTGTGTGTGTGTGTATATATATATATATATATATAGTTGTTGTTGTTGTTTGTTTGTTTTAAAGAATCACCTCACATATTACTTCCTAACTGCAAAGGAAGAATCCTCATCTGCATGAAAAGATCAATCATCTCACGTAAGTCAGGAGATGATGTGCAGAGGGACAAGGCGACAGGACATACTTCCTGCAGGATGCAGGACAGAGCACAGAGTACCCCATGTTCAGACTGCCCAGAAGGTTGGCGTGACTAAGAGTCTCTGAGACCTCTCACATCCAGTTTATAGGAAATATGAAAGATAAAAGAACAATGTAAAAGGAACCAGAGGAAGCCATCAGGCAAATCTAGAGATTTTACAAGACAATTGCCCTCTTCTCTTTACAAAGTTGATGTCATGGGGGAGAAGACTGCTGAGGAAGCCATTCTCAGTTAAGAAAGTAAAGAGTACTAGGGCACAGTGGTGCTCATCTGTAATCCCAGAGGCTCAGGAGGCTGAGGCAGGAGGATCACAAGTTCAAAGCCAGCCTCAGCAACTTAGCAGGGCCCTAAGCAACTCAGCAAGACCCAGTCTCAAAATAAAACATAAAAAGGGCTGGGGATGTGGCTCAGTGAAGAAAGAAAGTAAAGAGCTAGGACAACCAAATTCAATGCACAAATTTGACAAGTACCTGGTTCCCAAAAGGAAGCCTATAAAAGACACTTTGGTTCAACTAGAAAAATTTGAAAATGTTTTAGATATTAGGGGCTTGGAAATGACAATTATTTTTTAGGTATAATGATGGTACTGCTATATAGGAAAATTATAAGTTACATGCTGAGGTAATCAGAGGTAAATATGCTGCTGATCTCTCTCTGGGAACTGGCCTTCTTCCCCTCCGCCCTTTCCTCACCTCCCAGTCCTTCCTCCTGTATCCACTTCCCAAAGCCCACAGCCCATCTGACCAGCCCTGACCACAAAGCTTCTCCTCCCCAGTGCCCACACCAAACCATGACAGAGTTCACACAATGTCCCCTCTAGTTCTCCCTCAAGTCCAACTAATTCTGCCAGAATTCCTGTCACAACCTTGGCCCAGCCTGCCACCATCTCTCCTAGCCAGCCAGGGTCAGCAGCATCCACTCAGGCAACCCAGACACAGCCAGAGTCATCTTTTCAACCCATATCCTATCATCAGGCTCTTTCCTGAAATCTTAAAGCAACAGTATTCCATTAGCATAGCCTCCAACCCAGCTCTCCAGACATGTGTCATCATGAGGGGGCTCCTTGACCCTTCCCAGCTCTAATCACACTGGCTTCCTTTCAGCCCCTTCATTCCCCCAGGCTTTCTCCTGCCACAGGGCCTCTGCGTAACCCCTTTGATCAGCTACCCACTCCTCCTGCTGCTCCTCCTCAGTTCTTTTACTAACATTTAAAAAAAGATATTTCCCACTGGGTACAGTGGCACATGCCTCTAATGCCAACAACTTGGGAAGCTGAGGCAGGAGGATCACAAGTTGGAGGACAATCTGGGCAACTTAGCAAGACCCTGTCTCAAAATAAAAGACAAAAAGGGATGGGGATGCAGCTCTGGGTAAAGGCCCTGGCTTCAATCCCCAGTACCATAAAAACAAAAATTTTTTAAAAGGGGAGAGCTGGGGTTGTAGCTCAGTGGTAGAGCACATGTGAGACACTGGGTTCTACCCTTAGCACTGCATAAAATAAATTTTAAAAAAAAAAGTATGTGTTCATCTAAAAAAAATTTTAAATATTTCCCCCATTCTATCTTTTTTAATGTGTTGCTTTTCTTCTAACCACTTGATTTTCTGCACATCTTTTCTACTATATGCATTTAAATTTCCCTCTAGACATGACTTTATCTATATCCCATCAGTCATATCTTTTTGCTATTATTCAACTCAAAATATTTTCTAACCTTATCTTTTTTCTCTGACTCATAAGTTATTTAGAAATAGTTGTCTAAATTTGCAAATGCACTAGGATTTTTTTTTAATTCCTGGCTTATTCAACTGTTATCAGAGAACATATGCTATTTCAATCCTGTGAAAGTTGCTGAGACTTGCCTTGTGGCTAGCACATAGTGAATTTCGATAAATATACTTCTGCATCAGAAAAGAATTAAATTCTACACTCATCAGGGAAAGTGTTCTAAGTATGTCCATCAGGTAAAATTCAGTACCTAACGTTATATTCTTCTACATTTTTTTTTCCCAGTTCTGGAATTGAATCCAGGAGCCCTCTAGCACCGAATTATACCCCAACTCTTTTTTATTTTTTATTTTGAGGCAAGGTCTCACTAAATTTCCCAGGCTGGCCTCAAACTTGCAACTCTCCTGACTTAGTCCCACCCATACCCCACCCCTGTCTCTGGAGTTACAGGCATGTGCCACCTCACTCAAAAATGTGTCTCTTTTAAATAGTCCCATCAGAGCCAGCTGACACTGAGTCCTCACGCTGGAGAGCCTGGTTGAGGACCTGGACTGACATCCCAACTCTTCTTATCATGTGCCTGACCCTCTGCATCCTCCTCACCTCTCTCAAACTCTACAGCCACACCCTGACCCTGCTGAGAGCCACGACTTCTCCCTACCACCTCTCCTCAGCCAGCCGTCAGCTCCACCCCAGGAGAAGCCTGCCTTGGTCCCTGACCTGATCACCATGTCTGAGAGAGTAGGCATCTGCTGGACTCAGAGCCTAGGGCTTGAGACTCTGGATCTGACACCTGAACTGAGCCTGCAGAGGGAATGTCTTCATGAGCCTGTCATGATGAAGTGTGTTTGCAGTGCTCAGAATTAAACTAGAATTGTTTGCTGTGAGTTGATTTTTGTTGCAGTGCCCAGCATTAAGGATTGTCATTTTCTTGATTAAGAACCTATAGAGTAAAATTGTATTGAGTGATTTGAGTGAATAAAGCATTGAAAAGGGCAATAAATAAATAAATAGTCCAATCAGGTTTCATTTTCATGTTGCTTCTCATAATATTTTTTTAACTGCAGCATACCTGTAATCCCAGGTATGCTGGGAGAATAAGACAGGAGGAGTATAAAATCAGGGTCAGCCTAGGCAACTTAGCAAGATCCTGTCTCAAAAACAAAAAAAAAGGACTGGGGATAAACTCAGTGGTAAGGCACCCCTGGGTTCAATCCCCAGAACCAAAATAAATTAATAAAAAAGTCCACTTACACGCAACATGATTTCTAACACGCTGGGATTCGAGTCTACTGACTTACTGTTTCCTCTCTATTTGGCCCACTTGTTCAGTGCTCCTCTCCTGCCTTCTTTCAGATTCAGTACTGCTAGTCTGATTTTCCCAGTTTGGCTTAGTTATCGAATAGTCTATCACTTTAGTGCCACCACAGAGATCATAGCACACATCCCCCATTTGTCTCACAGTAACTGGTTCTATTTTCTTCCTCCCGGAAATGCAAGGACCCTAGAACTGTTTACCCCATCTCCTCCTTTCTGACTCATATAATGTTGCTGTTACAGATATATTTTAACTCTACTCATAGATTAAATCCAAACACAGAAATCACTTGGTTTGGGGGCTGGGGTGGTGGCTCAGTGGTAGAGCGCTTGCCTAGCATATGTGAGGCACTGGGTTCGATCCTCAGCACCACATAAAAATGACATAAAGATACTGTGTCCGTCTACAACTAAAAAATAAATATTTTTAAAAAATCACTTGGTCTTCTCCTTGTAGATCACCTTTCAGTTGCTCTTCTTCCTTTCAGCAACTTAACCTTTCACCTAAGGTCATTCTCTTAAGCCAAAACAAACAAACAAAAAAAACCTTTAATGTCTCCCCTAGTACGGGACTACTGGCAGAAACATTGTGTTTGTGTGTTTGAAAATGTCTTTAACTTCAACTCCAAAGGTCTTTTTACTGCAGAAAGAACCCTGGGTTCTATCAGTTTCTTTGAGCACTTACAACTTCAACTGACTTCTGGTTTTCATGATTTCTGATAAGAACACAGCTGTCAACCCAACTCTTGTTCCTGGGAGGGGAACCGGCCTCTGGCTGCCCTGCATCTCCTTCTGTTCATTGCTGGTTTTCCCAGTTCATTACAACATGACCAACGTGTGGTTTTCTTGTGTTTACAGTGTGAGTGCATCTGTGGACGGAGCCTTTTATCAGCTGTGGGAAATCCTCAGGCATTTTCTTTTCAAGTACTGCTTCTGCTCAATTTTCTCTCACCTCTCCTCTTGTGACAAACACCCACTCTTCAATTTTTTCCATTTTTTATCTCTGGGCTTCCTTGTGGTATTTTCTTTTGAGCTACCCCGCCCCCCCCCATCACTAAGTGTTTTCAGCTGTGTCTAATCTGACCTTCATTTGATTATTTAATTTTGATTATTACATTTTCTGTTTTAGAATCTTCAGTTAGTTCTTTTTGATAGTTTGTAGTTCTCTACCAAAATTCTCAATCTGGTCTATCATCTCCTTGAACAAGCTGAGTACAGCTGTTTTAAAGCCTGTGTCTGAAGTTGGCAACCGTTGTCCATCTGTGTTTTATAGGAGATTGTTTCTTCTCATCTTAACTCAGGAAACTATTATTCATTGTGTGCAGAACAGTGAATTGTAAATGAAGGTAACTCCTCTCCCTCTAAGGAGAACTGAAGTTTGCTTTATTAGCACTCTGGGATGACTTATTTCAGGGAGCTTAAATGATCTGAAACAGGACGGTAGTCTTCCCAAAGTTCTACCTCTGGTTCATCACCATCCTTGGTTGAGGTTTTTAAGGATTTCACCCCAAATGGGGGGGTCCCCACACGCAGAACTGCTTTTCTTTTTCAGAACCTGAGCCCTCGACCCTCAGAGGTATCCCACAGTCCCACCGAGCTCCTCCTCGCAGCTTCCTCCTCCAGCATCAGCACAGGGCCAGGTGAGCACTGTTAGTTTCCTTGGGCTGCCTAGACCAGGTACCACAAATTGGGGGGTTTAAAATAAGGGAAACTGGGGCTAGGGCTGCAGCTCAGTGGTAGAATGCCTACCTCACACGTGTGAGGCACTGGGTTCGATCCTCAGCACCACACAAATATAAATAAAGATATTGTGTCCATCTACAGCTAAAACATATTTAAAAATAAAACAAGGGAAACTGATTGTTTCACAGTTCTGGAGGCTTGAAGTCTCAAATCAAGCAGTCAGCAGGGCCAGACATAGTGGCACACACTTGAAATCCCAGCTACACGGGAGACTGAGCAAGGATTGCAAACTCAAAGCAAGCCTGTCTCAAAATTAAAAAAAAAAAAAAAAATGAGCTGGAGTATAGCTCATTGATAGGGCACTTGCCCAGTGTATGGGAAGCCCTAGGGTCAATCCCCAATATTGTATAAAAGGAAAAAACATGATCAAGAGGACCATACTCCCTCTAAGGGCTCAAGGGGAGACTAAGCCCGCGGCCTCTGCAGCACTGGTGTCCTCCGGATTTCTTGCTTTCTGGCAGCACAGCTGAATTTCCTTGCACTCCTTTCATATGATCTGTTTCTCTGTGTCCACATCTCCTCCCTTTCTCTCCTATAAGGACACCAAGACATTCAGAGTTTCCCCTGAATTCAGAATGATTTCATCTCAAGAAGCTTCACTGGTTATATCTGAGAAGAATATACGGTCACATTTGAGGACCTGGGTAGACTGGATAGTAGGGAGACACAATACCAGTAAAGATCCCACTCTTGATTCCAAGGTCAAATGCAGCCCCACATGCCAGGCTCACTTCTGTCACAGACCACTGCCCCCCCAACACCTTGCCCACCCCCCATAGCCCTGTCCATCACTTCACCATCATCCTTAGTCCTTTTTAGTTTTTACTGAGACAGAATCTCACTAAGGGGCTGAGGCTGGCCTCAAACTTGCAATCCTCCTGCCTCAGCCTCCAAAGCCTCTGGGATTACTGGCATGCATGTGCCATAGCACAGCCCCACCACTGTTCTTTCCAAGCAAGCCTGTCTCAAAATAAAATTTAAAAAATAATAAGCTCTGGGCCTCACAGTCACTTCCTCAAGAAATCCTTGGAAGCACCCCCTCCCCAGCCCGCTGCCCGAGGATCATGCCTCATTTACCCCATGTCCTCTCTAAACACTCTGCACCACCAACACTCACATTCCCTTATAGCTGGCTTATTAAAGTCTGCCTGCTTGTAGCCCTAGGAGTCACTACTGTTCAATTAGATATCACAGTGCCAGCATAGCACTGAATCATGTCAAGATCTCAAGTGCTTGCTGAAACCAACTGAATCTGTGAAATAAGAAAAGTAACACCTCATCCTTGGTATTTCCACTAGTACTCAGTTTAAAGATGTTCAATGACCAAGCATGATGGTGCATGCCAGTAATCCCAGCAACTTGGAAGTCAGAGGCAGGAGGATTGCAAATCTGAGATTAGCCTCAGCTACTTAGCAAGGCCCTCTTAGTGATACCTTATCTCAAAATAAAAAATAAAAAGGACTGGGGATGTGGCTCAAAGGTTAAGTGCCCAGGGGTTCAATCCCTGGTACAAAAAAAAAAAAAAGAAGAAGAAGAAGAAGATGTTCAATGCTAGTTTTCAGATTTGCTCCTATTAACTGTTCTGACTACCAGAGACGGAGACTCACCAGAACCCATTGAGCAGAAGGAGGAGGTGGTCAGGCAAGACAACTACTTATGCAGAAATTAAAAAGTGAATAATCAGGGCTGGGGTTGTGGCTCAGAGGTAGGGTGTACGCCTAGCATACTTGAGGCACTGGGTTAGATACTTGGCATCACATAAAGTAAAATAAAGACATTGTGTCCACCTATAACTAAAAAATAAATATTTTTTTAAAAAGTGAACAATCAGAAAAACAGCAATAATCAAAACAACCACCAGATGATTACTTACTATATAACAGTAAGGTGCTAAGTGTTTATTTTTAACAGATTGTCCCACTTGAGCCTATGAGTTTCCATTACCATTTCTATTCTGTGGATGTAAGAATTGGGATTATTATTTCTTTTCTACAGTATAGAAACTGATGCTCAAGAACATACATCTAATACTGTCATTATAACTGACCAAAGAACTAATATTTTCTCTGTTTACAGATGAAGAAACCTAGTTTCAAGTGAGGTTCAGAAACTTGTCCATGATCAATCACAAGCTTCATAAATTGGAGAGCAAGTCTAAATAAGCTTCATCTGATACAAAGTTTAGGCTTTGAAATCCTAAAATAAACAAGCATTTTAAGACCTTTTATAGGACTGGGGTATAGCTCGGTGGTAAAATGCTTGCCCAGCATGCACAAGGCCCTGGGTTCAATCCCCAGGACAGGGGAAAAAAAAAATTTTTTTAAACATCACTTTATCCCTACTAGTATGGCTATAATCAAAAAGTATCAAGGATGTGGAGAAACTGCAGCCCTTCTCATATACTGCTGGTGGGAAAGTAAAATGGTACTGCAAGTTCATAAAATAGACCAACAGTTCTTCAAAAGTTTTTCTACTCCTAGGTGTACTCAAGAGAAATAAAAACATGTCCACATGAAAACTTGTACATGAACACTCATAGAAGCATTATCTAAATAGCCAATATGCAAAAAAAAAAAATCCATCAACTGATGAATGAATAAAATGCAGTATATCCTTACAATAGAATAATGTAATAAAAAAGAATAAAGTGCCAGGTGCGGTTGCACACACCTGTAATCCCAGCAGCTTGGGAGGCTGAGGCAGGAGGATCGAGAGTTCAAAGCCAGCCTCAGCAACTTATTGAGGCCCTAAGAAACTCAGTGAGACTCTGTCTCTAAATAAAATACAAAAATACGGGACTGGGGATATAGATCAGTTGGCAGAGTGTTTATCTAGCATGCATAAGGCTCTGAGTTCAATCTCCAGCACCACCAATACAAACAAACAAAACGAAAAAAGGCTGGGGATTTGCTTCGGTCATTAAGTGCACCTGAGTTCAATCCTCAGTACCAAAAACAGAAGAAAGTACCAATACTTGCTAAACATGAAGGAACCTTGAAAATATGCTGAAAGAAATCAAACAAAAGAACTGACACTATATGACTGTATTTGTATAATGACCAGAATAGGCAAATACATAGAAACAGAAAATAGATTAGGGTTAAGGGAGCCAGGAGGAAATGGAAATAAAAGTGTTCTAAAATTGTTTGTGGTGACAGTTGCACAACTGTGAGTATACTAAAAACCACTGAACTGTATGGTTTAAATAAGTGAATTATATGGTATGTGAATTGTATCTCATAAAGCAGGGGTTTTCAAGTCTTTTAAAACTTAAACCTTTTACCTATTTGCTACTAGTATTCATTTAACAGAAAAAAAAATGCTTGTTTAAATTTGAAATCAGGAATACAAGCACTTCCACATATATTCAAAAACAAAGTTTTAGAAACTTTTTTTAAAAACTCAACTGATAGCTTCACAGAATTACACTGTTCTTTACTCAAATTTTAAAATACTATATAATGTGCTGATGTATTTACCAGTCAGTGTATTAGCTCCATTTTCTTTTTCCCATTCCAGCTACGTGGTCCTAGAATCATTACTGTGTACTATGGTCAAGAAATACAAATAAAGGGGCTGAGGTTATGGCTCAGTTGGCAGAGCGCTTGCCTCATACCTATGAGGCACTGGGTTTGATCCTCAGCACCACATAAAAATAAATAAATAAAATAAAGGTATTGTGTCCATTTACAACTAAAAATATTTTTTAAAAAAAATAAAAATAATGCCATGTGCTTGCAGGGACAACTTCAACTCTAAAGATTCAAACACGAAAACATCAGACATACATGAAATACTAAACCAGTAAATGGCCACCCCAAACCAATACACACTGAATTTTCACTCAAGACCTGGAGGAAAGTTTTTTAGATGCCTTTATAATGCAAAGATTTATTTAAAGGTTGGTAAAGCTTCTCTTTACAAAAATGCCTCAAGTGTGTTTCTCAAAGTGTGTTCCATGGACCATGGGCAGCTCTTCCAAAATTGTTAGAAATGTACATTCCAGACTTCCTCAACCCCACACAGCATTAGCATTTTAACAAGATCCCCAGGAACGCTATCTGAAGATTTCCCCCCACCAAAGTAAGACAACTTGAGTTTTCATTTGACTAATACTCTGAAAACCTGACATACATACAGTTCTGGTGCTGGCCCAGCTTGGCCTCAGAGCCATTCCTTGCTCTCCTCTCTATCCCACTACAGAGGGGGATGGTCTCTGCAGGTCAGGGTTCCCAAGCAGGAAGGGTAGGGAAGTTTGCTGCAGCCACTGTGCCTTCCCAAGGCTCTGCCAGAGGACCTCTGTGGTCCCTGTCTGGCAGAGCCAGTTGCCCCTGCAGTCTGACTGGCGCCCCTTTCTTTGTCCCTCATCTCCCTTCATCTTATGGGTGGCAATGGTTTCCTGTTGGTTGCTTCATCTTTGGGTTGCTTCACTACCTACAGATTGCATTCTCATTTCTTTAGCATCTTTGCAACCATTCCCTGCATTAAATTCGCTCTGGTTTAAATACTTAAAGTGGTTTTGTTCCTTTTTTGGACCCAGAATGAATGACACTCCATATCATCTGGAGAATTCTATAATGTATCACACATAGCAGAGGAATTTTGTGAATGGTTTCTCTACTACAGAAGAGAGCTACTGCACACACAGTAAACTTCACATTTCCCACATTCTGACAATCTCTAACAACCCAGAAGAAAAATCAGCCCTAAGCTATCTGTCTGTACGGCAGATGTGACTGAATTCCAAAAGGCAAGTCCTCGGGTGTATTTTTAACACTGTACCCATCACTCCCCCTCAACCAGAACAGCTGGTATGGCAACTATTGTTTTAAGGGAGAAAAAAAGAAAGAAGGAAAAAAACACTTCCTGATGAACAAAAATTGGGGACTCACACTGGAATCTCAGAGGAATCAAACCTCTCCATGATCTTGATCTGAATCATACTTCAAAGTCACAGGATCTACCATGTACTGGACAGCACCTCGCTTCAAGAAGCAGGCAACAAGAGACAGCAACTCCTATCAGTACCAACCAGAACTTCTTGGAGATCTTCCTGAAAGCACATCTGATAACCACTCCCATGCCTGGAATAACTCTGTGATTCTCTCTTGCCCAAGGCCAAAAATTCAACCCTTCAAATTAGGCCCTGATCTTCCAAATTCCACTTGACCTGTTCCAGCTGCTGATTCAACTTCTGACTGTTCCCAGGTGTGCTTAAACTTTTACACACAATATTCTAATGTGAGGAACCTCATCCCTCCCTGCCCAGTCTGGCAAACTCTATTCCTCAAACACCCCACTTTGAGAAGGACACCTTTATCCCTACCTCTCCGGGAAGTTGGAGTCTGTCCTCTGAGATTCCATAACACTTACTAGGTTGTGTGTGGAGGTGTCCATCTCCCTGTTACACTGGGTGCCCTCAAATGGAGAAAATGCCTTTCATCTTGGGGATCCTAACCATGGTTCAAATGCAGATCCACCTGGAAAAGTCATTTAACCTTTGCAATTTCCAACTGCATAAGACCAGAATGATATGGATACCACTCAACTCAGTGGGTTATCACTAAATGATATAATCCATGTAAAGTGCCTAAAGCTAACCCAAGAAGAGTGCCTGGGATCCAAAAATTGTTATCTGCTATTGTTCCGGCTGTTATCATTACAACTATTATAGCTATACCTGGAAGCATAGGTCTTTGAAACCCACTTGTTAAATAACGAGCACTTCACAACAAACCTGTTTTCAACATGTTAGAACCCAAGGTTCCCCAATTCCAGGCATTGGAGGCTGACAAAGATAAGGCAAGAAATGGCTCCCACGGTAAAGGGACTAACTGGCCCTGGAGGGAAAGCGCACTGCAGCAGGATGAGAAAGCCTGTGCCAGCCGGAACTGCCAGGGCTGCCTCACGGATTCAACCTCTCTCAGCCACCTGTCCAGCCACCTGCCAGAGAAAACCCTGGTCCAACAGGGAGGACTCATCGTAGCAAAACCATAAGCAGTTTCCAACAGGAACCACAACGGGTAAACAAAGGGTGCAACTTTGCTCTTGCAAAGGGACATGCGTCTTCTACACACCTCATACGCAGCGTGTGGACTTCTCCACGGAGAGTTCGGTGCCCAGCGGGTGCGCAGTCCCGGCTTTCCCGAGTGGGGAGAGCAGGTCGCTGCACGCGCATCCCTCCCTTTTTGGGAGGAAGCGGTGAAGGTTAGACCCCAGGACCGGGTCCCAGGGGACTTCTGGGGGTACCATAAGATACCGTGCACAACGCCCAGAGGGAGAGAGCCTGCCGAGCGCCCAGAGTCTTGCGGCCCCGGGCCTCGCGGAGCG